AGCAGAAACTTGTACTGCAGGGCACGAGCAGATCCAGCTCGGATTAGGGTGGATTCCTAATTTCCCAGCTAGGAATGAAAAAATAGGGCCAGCCCAGCAAGGAGAGCAACGTTTGGCTTCCCTGGATCTCAGCTTTGGAATTTATCGTATTTGGAGAACAGAATCCTCAGGGCTCCACATTCCCTGCCCTGCACTCACAGCCTTGGACGTCCAGGCCCAGGTTGCTCCTGGGATATAACTGATGTGGGTGTTTAAAGTGCGGTGGGATGAATCCTGAGGAATGAATTCCCGGAATTACAGCACAGGCAGCTTTTTGTGGCCAAGGTCTGCGGTGGTGAGCGGGGCTGGTGTATCACAGGGATCCCAAAGCCTCAGGTGGGTGTGCAAGTGGCCATTTGTGGGATTTTCCGTGTCTCAGCTCTGGGAAATGACTCCTTTCCACTTCCAGCAGAGCTCCCTGCTCGTCTGGGAGCAAGAGAAGCGACATTACTGCAGTGCTAATTTCCTCTTGGCACCTCTTCCCGCTCCTGTGTGAGTGCCCTCCCCTCCACGGCCATCCACCACAGCCAGAACGAGATCTGCAGTTGGGATTCATGCTAATAAAATAAAACTGCTGCAGTCAAAGACAGAGAGAGCCTCAGTGGGAAGGCTCCCCAGCAAACCGAACCTCTCCAGCCAGAGATCTCTGTGAATGGCAGGTGGTGAGTTTGGGGGGGATCCACACCTTGATATCCCTGGGTGGTCCATCCATCCATCCAGGATCCATGGATCCCTCCATGAATTCATCCCTCCATCCCTCCATCCATCCATCCCTCCCTCCATCCATCCCCCCCCCCACCATCCATCCATCCATCCGTCCATCCATCCATCCAGGATCCATGGATCCCTCCATGAATTCATCCCTCCATCCCTCCATCCATCCATCCCTCCCTCCATCCATCCCCCCCCCCACCATCCATCCATCCATCCGTCCATCCATCCATCCAGGATCCATGGATCCCTCCATGAATTCATCCCTCCATCCCTCCATCCATCCATCCCTCCCTCCATCCATCCCCCCCCCCACCATCCATCCATCCATCCGTCCATCCATCCATCCAGGATCCATGGATCCCTCCATGAATTCATCCCTCCATCCCTCCATCCATCCATCCCTCCCTCCATCCATCCCCCCCCCCACCATCCATCCATCCATCCGTCCATCCATCCATCCAGGATCCATGGATCCCTCCATGAATTCATCCCTCCATCCCTCCATCCATCCATCCCTCCCTCCATCCATCCCCCCCCCCACCATCCATCCATCCATCCGTCCATCCATCCATCCAGGATCCATGGATCCCTCCATGAATTCATCCCTCCATCCCTCCATCCATCCATCCCTCCCTCCATCCATCCCCCCCCCCACCATCCATCCATCCATCCATCCATCCATGGACAAAAAAAGGGCAGAACCCTCAGGAGAGGACGTGTTGGAGACTATGAAAGGAATCAGAGCAATTTGCTTCTCCTTCCACATTTGCCATTGTGTCTGGCACAGACTTCAAGATCGTGGGGTAATTAAAACCCAGTAACGATTATGAGGCTGTAAAACGGAAATTGTGAAACCCTCATGAACATTTACAGCCCCCGTGGAAACATTTCGGGTTTGTGGTCTGGAGAAGTATTTCCTTGTCTCTTTAAGCACCAAAGGAGCATTCCCTGGAACGATTCCTGGCAGAGCTGCCGGCATTTCATGGGGCTCTACAAAACAGCATCTCCAGGCTTTGTCTGTGAACTTTGTGTCCTGCAGGGTCGCGTCAGGACAGCAGAATGATTTGCGGGGAAGGACTGGGGCAAGGGAACAAAATCATGGAGTGCTTTGGGTTGGAAGGGACCTTCAAGGTCACCCAGAGCCACCCCTGCCATGGCAGGGACACCTCCCAGTGTCCCAGGCTGCTCCAGCCCCAGTGTCCAGCCTGGCCTTGGGCACTGCAGGGATCAGGGGCAGCCCCAGCTGCTCTGGCAATTCCAGCCCAGCCAGCAATTCCTCATGGCCAACATCCCATCCATGGCTGCCCTCTGGCACTGGCAGCCATTCCCGGGCTCCTGTCCCTTGTCCCCAGTCCCTCTGCAGCTCTCCTGGAGCCCCTGGAATGTGCTGGAAGCTCTCCCTGGAGCCTTCTCCTCTCCAGGTGAGCACCCCCAGCTCTCCCAGCCTGGCTCCACCCTGGAGCAGCTCCATGGATTCCTCTGGACTCTCTCCAGCAGCTCCAAATGCTGCTGATCCCAGCACTGGAGGCAGAACTGGAGATGTTCTGTGCTCTTTAAAAGACCCCAGAGCAAGAATTGGGTCCCTCCTGCAGGGCAGATTTGGGGTAGGTTGTGCTCAGCTCAGGTCAAAGATAAAGGAGCTTCTCAGGATTTTTGCACCGTTTCAAACACCCTCTTGTGTGGTTTTTCCTTTGGGAAACCATCTCCCACTGCAAATGTGTTCTAAATGCCCCGACTTCCACAGGCTGGGACGGAGAAACAGGAACCAGACAGCAGGAAAGGAGAAATCAGTGCTGGGAAGGCAGGAAAGTTTCCCAAGGGCTGATGCTTTCGGGAGCCTTGAGCTTCCCTTCCCTCCCTCAGAAGTGATAAACCCAGGACAGCCAGAGCCTGGTGAAGCTGGGCAGGACCACGAGGACCCCTGAGCACCAGAGAGGCACCGTGGGGCTCGGCCCAAACCCAAAGGGGTGGTGGCTCCTCTGTGCAGAGTCCAGGACTTCAAACACCTGGTGACCAAATGTGGCCTCAGGGGACTTCCCAAACACCTCGGGAGCCTCTGGAGTGCAGAGCCACCCTCTTGTCCCAGAGGAAGCCCCCGAGGGATGCTGGGGATGCTGAGGGGGGTGTGGACACGGTGAGGGGGCTGTCTGAGGAGTTATTTACTCCCCACCACGACAGCTTGTCTCCACCCACCACCCAGCTCTGTAAACAAAAACTGTTCCCAAAATCTCTCCCCCACACCCACGGTACCTCCTGTTAGCGAGAGAGGGTTTGAAACAAAACACCAACACTCCGAGCTTTTCCAGGGGGAACTTTTCCCTCATTTCCAATCTAAACCTTTCCTGGTAAAACTTGAGGTCATTTCCTGTTCTTTAGGGGAGAAGAAACCAAATTCCACCTGGCTACAACCTCTTGGAAGAGAGTTGCAGAGAGTGAGGAGGTGCCCCCTGAGCCTCTTTTTCTCCAGGCTGAACAACTCTCTGCGATCAACAACCCCATTTCTGTGCTTCAAAAATCACAGCATCCGTGGTGTGTTACACTCACGGTGGGAAGAAAACGTTCTTCATTCCAAAACCACCTTCCCAGGAAAAAATATTCCGTGAGGAGCCTCTGGTGAGGATTCTAAGATGCTGCTGCAAGGAAGAATCCTGGAATTAAGGCTGGAAAAGACGTCTAAGATCATGAATCCTGGAATTAAGGTTGGAAAAGACCTCTAAGATCATGAATCCTGGAATTAAGGCTGGAAAAGACCTCTAAGATCATGAATCCTGGAATTAAGGCTGGAAAAGACGTCTAAGATCAAGAATCCTGGAATTAAGGCTGGAAAAGACGTCTAAGATCATGAATCCTGGAATTAAGGTTGGAAAAGACCTCTAAGATCATGAATCCTGGAATTAAGGCTGGAAAAGATATCTAAGATCATGAATCCTGGAATTAAGGTTGGAAAAGACCTCTCAGATCATGAATCCTGGAATTAAGGCTGGAAAAGACCTCTAAGATCACGAATCCTGGAATTAAGGCTGGAAAAGACCTCTAAGATCAAGGTTGGAAAAGACCTCTGAGATCAAGGTTGAAAAGACCTCTGAGATCATGAATCCTGGAATTAAGGTTGGAAAAGATGTCTAAGATCAAGGTTGGAAAAGACCTCTGAGATCATGAATCCTGGAATTAAGGTTGGAAAAGACCTCTCAGATCATGGAGTCCCAGAAGATGGAGCAGGGAATGTCCATGGGAAGCTGGAATGAGGTGCTTGGGCTCTGGATTCCCACGTTCCACATGCTGCTCCTGCCTTCTCCTTGGTGTGATCCCTGGAATATTCACTTCCCTCGTGAAGGTTTGGAGAGGACTGAGAGTCTGAGCTCTCTAGGAGACAACAGTTAATTGCAGACTCTAATTACCTCAATTGCAAAATCTTCTCTTTCCTCTGTGCCTGCTGCAGGTGAGGCCCCGAGTGTCACTGCTGCTCTGTTCACACCTCGTGGGGCTGCGATGGACAACGCGAGGAGCAGCTCGAGGAAAAACAATTTAAACAATTTGTTTTAGACTCAAAAACACTCCCAAAAGAGAGATTTTCCTGATTTTATCCAAGCTGCCCTGGCCCCCGCCAGCACAGCTGCTGGGTGGGTGGGAAATGTGGACTGCAAAGCCCCAGATTATTAAGAAATTAATAATTAACCAGTTGCACACCAGGCCACAGCAGCCCAGTCTGAATTCAGAGCTCCTCACACGTCAGTCCCACACCTCAAAGGGTCTGAAATGGGATTTCCTTGTCCCAAGCAAGGACAAGGGAATGGAAATCCCATTTCCTTGTCCTGAGCAGCTCCTTTTCCCTTTCCCAAAGTCTGGGTAGGGAATATCCAGCATTCCAGGACCTCCACGTGGATCTGTGATCCCAGGAACTCCCATCACCATCCCTCATGGAATTCTCCCCCCTCCTGCAAACCCACCAGGGAAAAGGAGGAACTCCTGCAGTTAATGGCCAATATTGACAGGAGAAAAATCTGGATTGTGAATAAAAGGAGGGAAAAAACTTTGGAATCTTCAAGATTCAGCAACAAGAACTGATGGGCTCTGCTTCTTACATGGAGGGTGAGAAGCCTCTGGAGTTGGTCCATGGTAGCTGAGGGTTGGACAGAGTGACTCAGAAAATCATTTTGGAGCCTTCAAACACTGAATTTGGGCCTGGAAAGGAATCTTTTAAGCACCTCAGGAATGACAGCTCTCAAAAACAGCCAGACAAACCACCAGGGCTTTTAAACATCCTTTAATTCTGCAATTTCAAGGTTGACACACAAAGCACCTACAGCTCAGAGAGAACCTTTCTCAGCACAGGAAACCTAGCCGGGTCCCCAATTTTCTTGGCAAACACAAGTGCAGTGGATTCTGATTTTGGAGGAATAAGGAACCTTTTGCCAGGTGAATTCAGAGGGTGAAGGCAGGGCAGAATTGGTGCCCTGGGTGTGCCTCAGACCCTGGATTTGGTGCCCTCCTACCCTTGCTGATCATTGGTGCTGAGCTACGCAACCCTGCCTGTCCTTCCAGTGCACCAAGTGACAGCCACAAAATATCTCTGGAGCTGGGGGGAACTCAAAGATAACATTCAGGACAAGAGAAGGAAGCTTTTTTTGTTATTTTATGTTGGCAATTTTCTCCTGCCTCCACCCGGCGCTGCAGGAGCGCCAGATGGCTCCGGGATAATGAAAGAGGAGAAGTGGAAACAAATGGTCCCGTGTTACCTCCCACGTGCAGAGCTGGCTGATCACCACCTGAAGGAATAAACAATCCCAGCTTTTAGCAGTGGGAACAGCGGGAAACTTCACGTGGGTACAACCTGGAGAGAGCAATAGCAGAGCCGAGCAGGCTCCGGAAAAGATCTCCAGACCATCAAGATGTGATCAACAGGTCTGGGATTGACTGGCAGGGTGCTGATTATTTAGAGTGGTCTGAACTTCCAAGACCCAATTTTCCCTTTTCCCACCCCACAACTCCCTTTAGATCCCAAAACAAAGCAGCAGCAACAGAGCAAAGCCCAACATCCCACCCCAAACCCCACTGGGGCTCCTGCTGTGGAATCACTTTTGGGAGAACATTGAAGAAGCGTTACGTGGATACACACCAAAACCACCCCAACCCCAAATCTCAAATAGCATTCCCCTCCTCACCACAAAACCCAGAAGATTCCCACTTTTTCTTAGATTAAAACAGAACAAAACAACAAAAAAAACAACTTGGAGAGGTGCCACCCGTCAGCTGCGGGTGAGGGGGTGGCAGAGGCGGTCACACGGTGGTGATTTTCTTGTCCTTGGTGGCCTGTTTGATGGCAGCCTGCTCGCAGATGATCTCCTTGAGGCGCTGCAGCCGCATGTTCTGCGTGGTTTGGTCGCCCACGCCCGTCTGGCTGCGGTGCAGCAGGTTCAGGGCGTAGATGTACTCCAGCTCCGTGTACTTCACGCCCTGGTCCACCACCAGGTTCAGCAGCTCGTCTGCTGTGTTGTAGAGCATCTCGTAGTACTGCCTGCAAAGAGAGGAAAACACCCTGGCGTTGGGAAGGATGGAAGTTTGACAAGAAAGCCTCACAGATAACTGGAGAATACTAACATGAATATGGTAATTGTATAGGTATGATAGGCTATAGATAAAATTAAGGTATAGATTGGTTCTACTGTATTAAGAAAAGCAAAGCAAAGTATATAATGCATTTGTAACCTAAACTCAGGGTCTCCAGGCCTGCCTGCAGCTGCAGAGCTGTAGGCACAGGCTCTGTCGCCCACGGCCCTGCACTGCTGTAACATCTTCATGTGATAAATTGCATTTTGGAAGAGTCCCGCATCTCTCATTTAGGCTCTTACACCCTGGGTACCTGTGCTGCTTGGTGCTCCAGACTTTGCTTTTGCCAGAATTCCTCTTGCTTTTATTCAGCAGTGCCACGAGCACAGAAAGCTGAACAGAGAGCAGACATCTCCCTGCTGAACGTCATCCTAAAATCCCAGCGTGGTTTGGGTTGGAAGGCATCTCAAAGTTCCACTCCCTGCCATGGGAAGAGGCATTTTCTACCATCCCAGGGTGCTCCAAGCCCCGTCCAGCCTGGCCTGGGGCACTCCCAGGGGCAGCCTCAGCTTCTCTGGGTAACCTGGACCCAACGTGGGCAGGGCTTAAAGTCAAAGTGACAGAAATCCCCTTTGTTGAGACTCACGGAATGGTTTGGGTTGAGAGAGACCTTAAAGCCCATCCAGTTCCTGCTCTGAGCTCCTCTCTTCCCCCCCCAGATATCCCCTGGCTGAGCCCTGGGAGCTTTTCCTGCCCAGGCTGATGATCTGGGAAGGGTAAATCAGCTTCCCCGTGCCCACCTTAAAGCCAAAAGAGATCTTGGGGAGCTAAATTTGCTCTTTGGTTAGGTTTGCTAATCCCACATAATTACTATTAACCTATTTGTCAGATGACAGACTGAGATTTGATAACTTTTAACTCTTTTCCTTGGTTTTAAACCTCAACTTTAAAACCACAAAGCAGTTGGCCAGCATTCCACGGAGCAGAATCCCCTCACCTCTCCTCCATTTATTTATTCCCTCCATCCTTTACAACTTGCTTCCCTCAGCCACCTCTTGGTAATCAAAAGAGGGTTTATAATGGCAGGGACAAACACACTTGTGAAAGGAAAATGAAGAGCCTAAATAAAAAAAAATCACAGAACAAGAGGCTCATCCCACTCCCTCTTTCATATTTCATTATTTGATAACATCAGAGGCTGAGTCCATCAGAGCTGCTTGGGCGAAGGCAAACAGGAGAGTGTCTGATCAATATTTATTAATACTTTCAAAGACAAGGAAGGCAAAGTTGAGCAGACTCTGTAATGGAGTGAATAATTACTCATGCAAATCGGGCTTGGCCGCGGGCGCTGCCGTTGCCAGAGCGGCAGGTTTTTAATTGCACCCAATTAAAAATGCACACCTTGTGCTCCTTCCCTGCTGCCTCGCTTGCTCCCCTTTTCTTTTAGAGGAAATTTTTAATTAAAAAATAATCTGATCCCGAGAAGAGTGACAGATGAATCCCGTCTTTGTGAGGTGCAGGAATTTTTCAGTCAGCCCAGATTTAGGACAGGTGAGGAAGGAGCTGTGAGGAGAGGATGGGGCTGTGCTGCTGGGCTTGTCTGTGCAGATTTAGCCCTGATTTGCCTTTTTTTCCTTTAAGGTGCCCTTGGGAAGGCCACAGATTTTTTTTGCTTTGGATCCCTGCCCCTGGAATGTCCAAGGCCAGGTTGGATGGGGCTTGGAGCATCTTGGGATGGTGGAAGGTGTCCCATGGGATGATCTTGGAGGTCCCTTCCAACCCAACTCATTCCAGGACTGTGGGGATGCAGCTGATGGGAACAAAGTGTCCCAGGGACTCATCCCAACAGGGAAATCCTTTTATTTCCATGTTGTCACTCATTTGTGTCGTGCTGAAAAGCACCGATGGGATTTGTTGGGCTGATCTGGCAGCAGAGATTTTACACACAAAAACATGGAGCAGGTCCTTAGGAACCTGTTCTTCTTAGGAAGGCTCTTCTTACTCCACAGGAATTCTTCTCCCAAATTCCTACAGAATAAGGGCTGCTCTTTACAAGGGAATTAATCTGCTCCAGGTCTTCAGCTCTTCAGGATGGTAAAAAATCTTCTCCACTGGCATCCAGCCCCAGGGCTGATGGCACATTCTATTTGTCAGATGACAGACTGAGATTTGATAACTTTTAACTCTTTTCCTTGGTTCTAAACCTCAACTTTAAAACCACAAAGCAGTTGGCCAGCATTCCACGGAGCAGAATCCCCTCACCTCTCCTCCATTTATTTATTCCCTCCATCCTTTACAACTTGCTTTCCTCAGCCACCTCTTGGTAATCAAAAGAGGGTTTATAATGGCAGGGACAAACACACTTGTGAAAGGAAAATGAAGAGCCAAAAGAGATCTTGGGGAGTTAAATTTGCTCTTTGGTTAGGTTTGCTAATCCCACATAATTATTTATTATGCTATTTGTCAGATGACAGACTGAGATTTGATAACTTTTAACTCTTTTCCTTGGTTTTAAACCTCAACTTTAAAACCACAAAGCAGTTGGCCAGCATTCCACGGAGCAGAATCCCCTCACCTCTCCTCCATTTATTTATTCCCTCCATCCTTTACAACTTGCTTCCCTCAGCCACCTCTTGGTAATCAAAAGAGGGTTTATAATGGCAGGGACAAACACACTTGTGAAAGGAAAATGAAGAGCCTAAATAAAAAAAAATCACAGAACAAGAGGCTCATCCCACTCCCTCTTTCATATTTCATTATTTGATAACATCAGAGGCTGAGTCCATCAGAGCTGCTTGGGCGAAGGCAAACAGGAGAGTGTCTGATCAATATTTATTAATACTTTCAAAGACAAGGAAGGCAAAGTTGAGCAGACTCTGTAATGGAGTGAATAATTACTCATGCAAATCGGGCTTGGCCGCGGGCGCTGCCGCTGCCAGAGCGGCAGGTTTTTAATTGCACCCAATTAAAAATGCACACCTTGTGCTCCTTCCCTGCTGCCTCGCTTGCTCCCCTTTTCTTTTAGAGGAAATTTTTAATTAAAAAATAATCTGATCCCGAGAAGAGTGACAGATGAATCCCGTCTTTGTGAGGTGCAGGAATTCTTCAGTCAGCCCAGATTTAGGACAGGTGAGGAAGGAGCTGTGAGGAGAGGATGGGGCTGTGCTGCTGGGCTTGTCTGTGCAGATTTAGCCCTGATTTGCCTTTTTTTCCTTTAAGGTGCCCTTGGGAAGGCCACAGATTTTTTTTGCTTTGGATCCCTGCCCCTGGAATGTCCAAGGCCAGGTTGGATGGGGCTTGGAGCATCTTGGGATGGTGGAAGGTGTCCCATGGGATGATCTTGGAGGTCCCTTCCAACCCAACTCATTCCAGGACTGTGGGGATGCAGCTGATGGGAACAAAGTGTCCCAGGGACTCATCCCAACAGGGAAATCCTTTTATTTCCATGTTGTCACTCATTTGTGTCGTGCTGAAAAGCACCGATGGGATTTGTTGGGCTGATCTGGCAGCAGAGATTTTACACACAAAAACATGGAGCAGGTCCTTAGGAACCTGTTCTTCTTAGGAAGGCTCTTCTTACTCCACAGGAATTCTTCTCCCAAATTCCTACAGAATAAGGGCTGCTCTTTACAAGGGAATTAATCTGCTCCAGGTCTTCAGCTCTTCAGGATGGTAAAAAATCTTCTCCACTGGCATCCAGCCCCAGGGCTGATGGCACATTTTGGGGAATGAGGAGTGAAGCACTGCCTGAGGGATCCCAAAATCATTAACATCCTGCTCAAACGGGATAATTAACTAATTTTGATGGTTTGGATGACGATCAAAAGATTTGTTAATTCTTAAAACAATAAAATCAATTTTTCATGGGATGAGCTCACATCCCAACCGAGACACCCACAGCCTGTTCCTCTGACCACTGGCAATGGGATTGGGTCCAAAGCTGCCTTGAATTTTTTTGGGGCATTTTTTAGGACAAAACTGAACTTTCCCTGCTCCCTTTATCCATCTGGAGTTGCCCCTGGAAGATCCACCACGACATGAGGAACAGCTCTGTGCTAAGAGCAGACAGGGAAGGTCAAATATCCCTTTAACGGGATGGAAATGGTTCCCAACTGCAGGAAAAAAACATCCCGTGGGCAAACCAAAAATTCAGAATCCACCTGACCTCCAAACCACTTTTTTTTGTTGGCTTTTAAGCAGCACTTTTGAAAGAAAACAGCAAATTGCCAGCCACGAACCCATTCTGCAAGGAGGCATTTTGAGCTCATATATCTACAGACACCCATATTAAAAAATGGTCTCTTGAACTCTGTTCTTGGAGAAAGAGAATAAAAATTAAGAAGCTTTCTCATTTAGGGGGGAAAAAAAAATCTCAGGAAAGGCAATGAGGATGAGCCCAGCTCCTCTGAGGGCTATTAATACCATTCTCCATTTAAATGCTAATATTCACCTCTAACCCCCAAAAAAAAAAACTTTTCAAAAGGTGGCCAGGTGAATTCCAAATGAAATCCTGATTTCCCTGAGAACGACTTGATCTCCTCTTCAGAGGAGGTGATGTTTCAGAATAAAGGATCCCACTTTAATTATCCCTTCCTGCATCAGACAGGAACGGATTCTCCGGGCAGGAATTCCAGTCTGGGCGCTGAATTAGCCAGAGGGACTGAAAAAAAAAAATAAAATAAAAGAGAAATAGAAATTCTGTCCCTTATCTCCCTCTCTTTTGGGGGATTAGGGAGGCGCTTTGGCAGCACCCAGGATTGCTGCTCTAATGGGAAAGCCAAAAAGGTTAAGTAGGAAGCACTTATGGAAAATTTGAATTAAAATTTTCCTTCTTATTTCCTTTTCCCTTCCTAAATGAGGGGAGAGGGAGACAGGAGAGAAGGAAGATTTTATGAGAGGCCCTGGAATAGAATTCCCAGAGAAGCCGTGGCTGCCCCTGGATTCCTGGAAGTGTCCAAGGCCAGGCTG